GGGCCAGAGCTGGAGGAATAACTTGACTGAGCTCCAAGATGCTGATGAGGAGTTTGGTTGCTTGTCTTGACCATGTTTCCTAAACCATCAAGGACTGGAAGACTCCTCTTAAGTCTGACAGACCTGTGTCTGTTGTAAGAACTTTCTAAATGTAGGGAAGGAAAGATTTTTCCTGGTGATTCACCAGGACCAGAAATTCTTGTTTGGCTAGCTAGGAGCATAGATAAGTCCAGAGAAAGCCTTTCTATATGCTGATAGTGTCTTGAAAAAGTATTCATATTTCTTGAAATTTTCCACATTTTGTCATGTTACAAACAAAAACTTAAATGTATTTCATTGGGATTTTATGCAATAGACCAGCACAAGGTGGAACATAATTGTGAAGTGGAACGAAAAAGGTTTTCAACATTTTGTACAAATAAATATCTGAAAAGTGTGGTGTGCATTGTTATTCAGCCCCCTTTACTCTGATACCCCTAACTAAATTCTAGTGGAACCAATTGCCTTCAAGAGCCACCTAATTAGTAAATAGAGTCCACCTGTGTGTAATTTAACCTCAGTATAAATACAGCTGTTCTGTGAAGCCCTCAGAGGTTTGAGAACATTGGTGAACAAACAGCATCATTAAGGCCAAGGAACACACCAGACAGGTCAGGGATAAAGTTATGGAGAAGTTCACAGCAGGTTAGGTTATTAAAAAATATCCCAAGCTTTGAACATCTCACAGAGCACTGTTCAATCTATCATCCGACAATGGAAAGAGTAGGGCACAACTGCAAACATACCAAAGACATGGCCGTCCACCTAAACTGACAGGCCAGCCAAGGGCAGCATTAATCACAGAAGCAGCCAAGAGGCCCATGGTAACTCTGGAAGAGCTGCAGAGATCCACAGCTCAGGTGGGAGAATCTGTCCACAGGACAACTATTAGTCGTGCACTCCACAAATCTGGCCTTTATGGAAGAGTGGCAAGAAGAAAGCCATCGTTAAAAGAAAGCCATAAGAAGTCCTGTTTGCAGTTTGCGAGAAGCCATGTGGGGGACACAGCAAACATGGAAGAAGGTGCTCTGGTCAGATGAGACCAAAATATAACCTTTTGGCCTAAAAGTAAAATGCTATGTGTGGCGGAAAACTAATACCGCACATCACCCTGAACACACCATCCCCACCGTGAAACATGGTGGTGGGAGCTTGCTTTTCTTCAGCAGGGACAGGGAAGCTGGTCAGAATTGATAGGAAGATGGATGGAGCCAAATACAGGGCAATCTTAGAAAAAAACTGGAAGGTAACCCTCAACCCCGGTCTCAATGACCCTAAACATACAGCCAGAGCTACAATGGAATGGTTAAGATCAACGCATATTCATGTGTTAGAATGGCCCAGTCAAAGTCCAGACCTAAATCCAATTGAAGATCTGTGGCAAGACTTGAAAATTGCTATTCACAAGCACTCTCCATCCAATCTGACAGAGCTTGAGCTATTTTGCAAAGAATTGGCAAACATTTCACTCTAGATGTGCAAAGCTGCTTGGAATGTATCCAGGATCAGAGCCAAGTATTCTAATCATACATCATAGGGGGGTTGGAGAGCAGATTTGTTGAAATTGATCACCTAGCCTGTCTTTTAGACATTAGCTGAGAGCTGCAACGTAGATGAATCCTTCAAGGAGGTGGTCATCTAGACAGGCTGTCACTTGAACGCCCTGAGTTCTGAGGAGGGCAAGTAAGGGTGCTAAGGCCTTTGTGAACACTCTGGGAGCATAGGATAGGCCGAAGGGCATTGCCACAAACTGAAGGTGTTGTCAAAGTAAGAATAGTTTACAATTGGCTCCCTTTCACCTGGTCTCTGACATAGCTACAAGTGAGGGTTTTTCCCTGTGGGGTACTCGCAGAGAAGACTATGGGAGATATGATAAGTGTGTCTGTAAGGGGTACGTAATATCCCTGCAATGAATCCTTGTGGCAAAAGGGCATGAGGGAGGGCTGAGTACCTTTATAGAGGCTCTAGGCAGAAGTGGCAATAAAGTGTGTGACTAGTGGTGTGCGCCTCTGATCATCTACCTGAGACTGAGCCATGAGTGGCTGAATTTTAGATTTTAGCTTTTAAGTTTGAAAAGTATGTACTGTCAAGTGAATTCATTCCAAACACAGCCCTGATTTTACAGCAACTATTCAAGATACAGGTTGACCCTGTCTTACCTGTCCACGACAGTGGACTGTACAGTTGCAAGAAAAAGTATGTGAACCCCTTGGGATTACGTGGAGTTTTGCATGAATTGGGCATAAAATGTGCTCTGAACGTCATCTAAGTCACAACAATAGAAGAACACAGTCTGCTGAACATAATACTACACAAACATTAGATGTTGCCATGGTTTAATTGCACATAACATGTAAACATTCACAGTGCAGGGAGGAAAAAGTATGTGAGGCCCTAGCTTAATGACTTCTCCCAGAGCTAATTGGAGCCAGGAGTGAGCCAACCTTGACTCCGATCAGTGTGATGATATTGGATGTGTTGCTGACAGCTGTCCTGCCCTTAAAAAACACACACCTGTTTTGGGTTTACTGGTTTCAAGAAGCACTGTCTGATGTGAACCATGCCTCGCAGAAAAGAGCTCTCAGAAGACCTACGATCGAGAATTGTTGACTTGCATGAAGCTGGAAAGGGTTACAAAAGTATCTCCAAAAGCCTTGATGTTCATGTGTCCACGGTAAGACAGACTGTCTACAAATGGAGAAAGTTTAGCACTGTTGCTACTCTCCCTAGGCGTGGTCGTCCTGTAAAAATGACTGCAAGAGCACAGCGCAGAATGCTGCATGAGGTAAAGAAGATTCCCAGAGTGTCAGCTAAAGACCTACAGAAATCTCTGGCACATGCTAACATTTTTGTTGACACATCTACAATAAGGAAAACATTAAACAAGAATGGAGTACATGGGAGGACACCACGGAGGAAGCCATTGCTGTCCAAAAAGAATATTGCAGCACGTTTGAAGTTTGCAAAAGAGCACCTGGATGTTCCACAGCACTACTGGCAAAATATACTGTGGACAGATGAAACCAAGATTGAGTTGTTTGGGAAGATCACACAACACTATGTGTGGAGAAAAAAAAGGCACAGCACACCAACATCAAAACCTCATCTCCACTGTAAAACATGGCGGAGGGAGCATCATGGTTGGGGGCTGCTTTGCTGCCTCAGGGCCTGGACGGATTGTTGTCATTGATGGGAAAATGAATTCCAGAGTTTATCAAGACATTTTGCAGGAAAAACGTACGACCATCTGTCCGCCAACTGAAGCTCCGCAGAGGATGGGTGATGCAACAGGACAATGACCCAAAGCATACAAGTAATTCAACAAAACAATGGCTGCAACAGCACAGAATACGCCTTCTGGAGTGGCCCAGTCAGAGTCCTGACCTCAACCCGATTGAAATGCTGTGGCATGACCTTAAGAGAGCGATTTACACCAGACATTCCAAGAATATTGCTACACTGAAACAGTTTTGTGAAGAGGAGTGGTCCAAAATGACTCCAGATCGTTGTGCAGGTCTGATCTGCAACTACAGGAAACGTTTGGTTGAGGTTATTGCTGCCAAAGGAGGGTCAACCAGTTATTAAGTCCAAAGGTTCACATACTTTTTCCTCCCTGCACTGTGAATGTTTACATGTTATGTGCAATTAAACCATGGCAACATCTAATGTTTGTGTAGTATTATGTTCAGCAGACTGTGTTCTTCTATTGTTGTGACTTGGATGACGTTCAGAGCACATTTTATGCCCAAATCATGCAAAACTCCACGTAATCCCAAGGGGTTCACACACTTTTTCTTGCAACTGTATATAAAGTACAGGTGGTGTACAAGTATCGTGCAACATAAAAAATTGCAACTTCCACCTTTTTTCTACAGGGCCTCAGGTTTTGAAAATGCTGTAAATAGCAGTTTGGGATTTAACCTCCTTAGCGGTTTTTCCCGAGTGTAGCTCGGGGTAAAATTTCAGCACCAAGAGCGGTAACCCCGAGCTACACTCGAGCTTACCATGCGGCGTTGCTCAGGGGGTCCCTGCAGCACTTACCTTGTCCTTCGCTCCCACGATGTGTCCCCTGCAGCGTCCCCGGCCATCTCCTCCGGCCGATGCCGGCATCCGGCTTCCGTATGCCGGTCCCTGCGACGTCGGGACGTACGGGCGCCGGAACCGACGGGAAATTTGAAATTTTTTAAAAATGTCATTTTTGCTGTCATTGCTGTTTCAATGCATTTCACATATATTTTGTCCCTACTGCTTTGTCCTGTGCCCTGCCTGCATTTTGACTGTTCTTTCTGCCTGGAAACTTAGAAAAGTCCATGGCGTCCAAAAAGCGTCCCTTTACGTCAAAAGTGGTTTTAGAACAGCGATAGTAAATCAGAACCACTTGCAGAATTGAGTGATAATGATTCGTGGGGAAATTCGTCATCAGACACTGAAAACGATTTTGCGACTTTGCTCAGCGATGTGCGAATTTGCCTCTGTATTTCAAATTTCAGTGTTTTTTGGTTTGATTATATTATTGAATTAAATTTATTATATTATTTTTTATGATTATTTATTAAATTATAATTTATGATTTTGTGTTTCAAGTTTTATCATATCCGGAATGTTTACTAGACTCTTGTTCGTACAGATTTCAGTGAGTTATTCCTAAAAATTACAGCCTACAATAAAAAACTACATATTTCCATGCAAAAAAAAGGGTACTGCTTTCAGCAGAAAAAAATCGGAAAGAATCATACCGCCGAGGAGGTTAAAGTACTTTCCCAGAAAAAAAAAAGCTAATTTTAATATAAGAATTAAAAAATGACCTAGTAGAAAAATGGTTAAGCTTAGCTGTATAAACTGAACCACACAGTGAACTACGTATCCTCAAAGGCTGCTAAAATGGCATGGCCATGATGATAAAGTTGTGGTTTGGAATTTTTTTTTTTTTTTTTTTTTAAACTGCTACAGTACAACCATACCTGTAATTCCAAGCAGTGCTTCTGCTTCTCAGAAATCTGGTTTTTCAGTGCCAATTTTTCCTTCATCAAATTTTCCAGGGACAGCGTATTCCAATCCAGCTTCAATTCTTCACAACGTGCCTTCAACTGAAAAATACAAAGCTACTTTAACCTCATAAAAAAATGTTTAACATTTTGGTAGGACAAGTTATCTTTTTCCTATAATTTGTTCGTAATGTAATGCCACATCTTACTCACCAGCTGCAAACTGCAATTTCTAAGTTCACCATTTTCCTGCTCTAGCTGTCGGCTCTGTTCCTTCAGTTGTATATTGTGAGCAGAAATCTCCTTTTGGGCTTGAATGAGATCACTGTAAGTAAGGGCCTTGACTCCCAGCTGCAAAGTAAAAAAGCAATGTCAAGTATGAATGAGAGAGGAGAGGCACACATCAATAGGGACCATGAGCATTTCATTGCAACACTATCTTTTTTTTTTTTTTTTTTTTTAATGGGGTGACATACTTTTTAACTGAGGCAAGTGTAATTTTGTAGCATGTTATTGAATATATTTCAGATACTGTTGCACTTGCTTACAGGAAACGTGCAGTGGTTTTGTAAATTCTTCCTATTTACTATGACCATTATTAAAAAATACATCCTTTTGGGCTGAACCTGGTCCAACCATGTTATCAAACAGCCTGAGCTATAGGGATGCTTGGAAGGTCAGAGAAGTCCAAAAATAGCTTTTACGCGAAAAGCAGAGATCTGTATATAATTTCAGCTTCTTAAGGGTCAGTTCAAACCACATGCAGTCCAGTGCGTTTTTTTTTCTGCATCAAAAATGCATGGCTAGTAGGTCATATGGCTTCCAAAGGCATAGTTCACACCACTGCAGTTAATTCCAGTGTGTTCCAGTTTTAGAAAAATGTACATTATGCACTAAATTATACTGGAATGTGTCAAAACGCATAAAAAACTGCACTGGAACACACATGTCCTTAATAGTGCAACTTCTGATGGGATTTGAGTAGCACAGAATCTCATGACAAAGGAAATCACATTGCATTCAACGGTGCCCTGAGATTTCAGCCCCATAGTCTACGTTAAACACTCACAGACGTTGCATCAGTATTAGATAAGAAGAACCTTTGGTAGGATTTTTTTTTTTTTTTTTTTTTTTTTGTTTTTTAACCCTCACCTCTCCTCCCAGGTCATCCTTTCTGCCTAAAGAAATTCTCCTTCCTAGCAGATTTCATTCACACCCAAGCATAGCAAAAACATGCATGAAAGCAATGGGTTGTATTCAGAACAAAAAAAAAAAAAAAATTACTGTTTACCTAAATTGTAATGCATTTTTTGGCGCCCATGTGCAAGAGCCCTAATATTTTAATATTCATGCATCCTTAGGATATAAAAGTAATACAAAAAACAAATGGTTTATCAGTCTACAATACCTCATCCAGCTTCTGTTGAAACAGTTTTTTGATTTCTTCCTTTTGAGCTTGGCAATGTGTAAGTAGTTGTTGGGCAGTACCCATCAGCTGGGAGTTTTTCTCCTAAAAGTTTAAAAAAAAAAAAAAAAAAAAAAAAAAAAAAATCTGTCAGTATAGAAAAGATAGACACATTAAAAACTACTGCTTCAAAGTTTGCTAGCAGAACATGCAATGCCAGCGAAAAAAAAATTATGAGCATAAAGAAAAAGTGGAGGTTCAGCTAAAGGACATACCTTTTCCTTCTGTAACAGTTGCTGCAGTCCAGCTTTGTACTGGGGAGTCTTCATGTAAGACATAAGCTGCAGGTACTGTACCCTAAATGAGTCTGTGACAGAAAAGAAATCAGTGAAGAGCTGCACATGAATATAGGTTAAACACGTTAAAAGGGTTTAACAAGCTCAGAGAAGAGCTCTCCTGTATTTAATACTTAGAAGAAGATAAACCTGTGGATTTAGAGACTACTCCTGGAGAAAGTATTTCACAAAAGGAACATACTACCCTTTATTCCAAAAGAACAGCAGTAAAACAGGTAATGAAAAAAGATGGAATGTTTGCATGACTGGAAAAAGCAGTGAAGGCTAATGATATTCAAAATAATCACAAAAGATGGCCAAAACAAAAGCATATAGTGGCAGCAAGCAATAATCTACAATACTCAGAATGCAATAAATATACCAAAAAAAAAAAAAAAAAAACAAAAAAAAAACCCCCACAGGATAATAGTACAATTTCCTGGCCGCATTTTACACTGCTCCAAAATAACTAAGTATTTTGAAATCGGCCCTGCTCAGACTCAAAAATACAACAATGGTCCTGTTAATGAGGCTGCTTTAAAGACAACTTTTAGCTACTAGCAAAAAGGGTTGCCTTTCACAAATGGACCTACAAACAGCAAGACACAAAATTACAAAGAGTGGGTGGTATCCTATATTGATAAGATACTGAATTCCTAATAAACTCCTAGAAATAGAATTTTTTTTTTTTTTTTTTTAAACCTACTTCTACCTTTCTCAACAATTGATACTTGCTGTCTTCATTCACTTTCTTTTTTCCTCAAAAAAAATGTCAGTGCTTAGACACATACTTAATGCTGTCAAATAACAAATCCGCTTTCAAATGGAAGAGAAACAAAGCTTCTTCAGTAATAGACTGGTTACAGGTAATGGACCAAAGACAACAAAATACATACCAGGACAGGGCAAACTATAAACCATGATAACTTACTTCCATTATTACTTAAAAAGGTAACAATGAATACAAATACAATGAATATAACAGCCCATGTGTCTCCTTCTGGCATCAGGTCTGTCAAATTCTCTTGCATCTCCAAACTCTCCTATGCTGATCCTCATTCCTTTGTTCTCTCCCTGCTCATGCCTTCCTATCTCTACCTTTTTTCGCAACATTCTTAACTCTTATTTCTCAAACAAATCAATCCCAAAGCTAAATTAACCGTTTTGGGAATAGAAAGCTAAATGTTCCTGTAAAGCAGATGACACTCCATCGTGCTATTATTAATAGAGGCATGCATTCTTGTTTTGGCTAAGTCTCTCCTAAAGCTCAAAGGTACCTTTGTTGTACATAAGATAAATGTAGGGTGCAAAAAAACCAAAAAAAAAAAAAAACGTCTTATGTCTGTTTAATTGTGCTACAGGCTGAAACTCCAAAACCCTATAGCAGGCTGTAAGGACCACTGCTCTTTGTGCTCTTTAGAGGTTCTGGCATGCACTCCATACCCTCATCACATTTTACAGCTACTGCATTCCCCACTACCCCATTATTCTGCATCCCCCGCCACTCCCAAACCACCACTTACATCCCCCTGTATTGCACCCTCCACATGCCCCACTACTGCACATTCTGTATCCCCCCCACTACCTTACATTCTGCACATTCCACCCTCCCATAGCCCACCTTCGGTAGTCCCATTAGACCTCACTCAGAACCCTTTGCGTACCCACTCAGATAAATCTAACAAGAGTGAGGTATTGAAGAAAGAAAAACAACCTTGAATAATTCACACAAATAAAAGCTCATTGATAGATTTTCCTACCAAGAAACCCCCAAAAAACACCAAAAGCACGAATTTGGCATCGGATTTTACAGAATACTGAAAGAATCACGACTAGTACACCAAGCTTACAGATTGTAATGTGATTATAAAAAGGACACATTTTGTAATTGTAAACAGCCATTCAGCTGCACTTTCATTATGGTCACATCATTATGCTACTGGACACTTGTAGCCTGCAAATGTTGCAGTGAGAAAAGCAGAAGGAAATGTACAAGGAAACAACTAAATTAAACAAAGGAGTGCAGGAAAATATACAACTAAAGCTATGAGTAGTACAGGGTGTAAACTATCAACTAAAAAAGCACAATACAGGATAAGGGTTCTTACAATAAATACAGGATTATTACAGAGCAATCAAAACTAAAATATGTAAAAAAAAAATAAAATATGACAAATATTTGGATAGAATATTATGAAAATTTAAAGAAATATCTAGCAGGAATATATACAGAAATATTGTAGAATATAAAAAGAAAAATTAAATGCAGAGAGAGAAGAAACCATGACAGAAAAAACTGGGAGAAAAGTAAATTAAAACAATGAGAGAACATGTGGGCAGACTCCATGGCAGTTAGCCTTTGCTCAAGCCTTGGTAAAGAAGGCTAACCACGATCACCCGAGAGGCTCCACTGCGGAATGCAGCTGCTAAACGGGGAGGTGACAGATAAGGGTGAGGCCAGAAGCTTCAGCAGCGAAAAATGCTGCTAGAGAAAGGCAGAATGTCAGACATTAAGCACATCTCTTACATTTAAAACGCCTCAGTACAACTGAACTATATATATACACAAAATGTCACTTTGCAGAAATAACACCCATCGTCACAAACCTAAGCTGCCTTATTGACAATTGTGGCAAACGTCACCCCAAGAAGTCAATGGACTCTTCCAGAAACAATTCGGTCATTGTATGGCTAGTAGAGCCATTTTGGTGCGTCAACTATTATTGTATGATACAGATTAAACACCTTTCTAAAGAGTCTTGTCACAAAATATCAGTTAATCTTCAACAATTAGAGCGGAACTAAACCCCCCTCATTTAGTGGTTTTTCCAAAACAGTTAGGATCAGTTCACATATATTGCTGTGACCAGTACTAGAAGCACGCCAGTCGTCGTCATTAAGACAAACCGAAAACTTGTTTTTTATGTATCCTATCCACATGGAAATGCACCCTGAAGGTGTGGTGCAGTGATTTGCACCAATGGATTTTATCGTAGCATTCTACGTGTGATTGCATGTCACTGTACAGCTGTTTACTGCAGCCAGGACAGCTGCCACACACTAAACCACTATGGTTTAGTGTGCAGCAGCTGTACAGGGCAGTGCAAAGAGGCCAATACATTTAAAGCATGCCATGAATTATAACTGTTAAGGTTACTAGTGGGCTTATGTTAAACCTTAACTGAACTGTCAAGCCATCAAATGACTGGTGTCAGAACTGATAACATGTACAGCAACAAGGCAAGTTCAGATCAAACAGGGGCTAAGATGGCAGCTTTCTTATCTGTAAAGAATAGGAGGGTTTAGTTGCGCTTTACGTCACTTTCCAAATCTTCCTTACAGCTCACCATTTGCAATGTTGCCAATAATCAAAGCAACACAAGGAAATACCAGAGCTTACACAGAAGAATGCTGTTATCCATATTAACTACTTCTTGAAGGCATTGATCTCCACTCTAGAGCACAAGATAGCAGATTTATGCAACAAAGGCCTGTTGTAAAATTCTTACCAAGCAGCTTCTGCAGTGCTGGCGGTGTGTGAAAAGACATCAGCTGGTTGGAAGGTTGACGCTGTGCTTTCAGAGGTAGCTGATAATGGAGACTTTGAGGTGACTTGCAGGCATCTACTAGAAGACAAAAGAAAAAAAAAATCCCCACTGTATTTGTTACTGATTTAAAGTTGCATTTAGTGTACAGCAGATACATTTATCAGAATAAATATTGTTAAAAGGTACATTGAACCAAAAAAAAAAAAAAAAAAAGAAGAAAATTCATATGTTTTGACAAGTTTTTGTACCCACCGTAAAATCCCTCTCTTGAAGTCCACTGAGGGACATGCAGTCTCAAGCTGGCAGGTTATACTGCTGCCTACAGTAGGAATGGACACATGAAAAATACCATGCCTCAATTTTGCAGGAAAGGAGCAAAGAAAGCATGAAAATAAACTGAGGGGTAAAACCTGTGCCCCCCAGAGAGGAAAAAAAATTTTTTTATCAAGTAAACAATTCTATTTTCTCGCTCATCCATCGTGTTGAACTGCTTTTGGATGTTCCAGCAGTTTAAGAAGGGTGAGCAACATAACAAAAGAAACAGTGCCTTCTGGCTAGAGAAGACCAGAGAGGAGTGTCTATAATGGGTTTACATGGTGGCCTTTGAAGCACTGAGAAAACCTGATTCTGATTACACAGTCACAGGGGAATGAAAAGAAGAAGCTACATGCAAGACACCCTGTAGAAAAGGTGAAAGATCAATGGTCTCTAGAAAAAAAAAAAAAGAAAAAAAAGACAGACCAGGTAGAAGCATTGGAAGTGTTCAGATCTAAATGCTTGTTCAGACTCAGCTGCAGGATAGAGCAGATTCAATTCACAGAGAAAATCTTAGGACTCACGCCAAATGTGACTTCCATGCTCGCTAATAGCCCCTATAACCTTTCACGTTGTTTCTAGGACTGGAATCAGATACTTCAAGTGAGAAGTCTAACCCAGTGATTAATTTTAAATGTTCAGGATCCGCCTGAACAACTGCAACTCCTGGACAGTAAACGCCTATAGTCACAGCCAGTGCCAACTGGAGATTGTTTAAGTAACCCAAAGTGGGGATGTGCCAAAAGTGCAGCAGGGCTAAGATTAGGGTGAACAGCACATAAGAAGCCAAAGGGCAGGGCCACAATTGGATATTTTAGGGGCATCAAAGCAAAACATAGAAAATGTTGATGTGCTGAAAAGATTGGACATGCAGGTGCGCATCCTTGATGCCAACAGAAGTTTGAAAATTGCCCTGGTGAAGGAAGACTAAAACAGATATAGTGAAGGACAAGCACAATTCCTGCATTTAGATAAAAACAGCATTTTAAGATTCAAGTTGAGATGCATACTCTTTTGGTGTACTGGAACGATGAACAAGGTGGTTTGAAACACCTAAACCCATTCACCCCAAGAACTGAGGCAATGACCGAAAACCCAAGTTAGTTCAACGGAAATCTACTAATCTGTGAGGCGGCACTTTAAGGTTGGAGGGGAGAAAAACCAAGGAGGGTTAGGGAGAGAAAAGCCAGATTGTTGAGATGCAAGTTGTTTAGTTGCTGGTAGCATCCTAGATAGATTGTTGCTAGAATCCATCCAAAGAGGCATATACAAGAACCCTGCACAGTCCAGCACCTTGATCAAGGCAAACACACGAGTAGTGACAGAAGAAAGATGCAATAGCAAAATGAGAACGCTTTACCAGACCGTCAAGCCAGTCTGGTAAATTAAAGTTATTTATTCACATGTACTATAAGCAAGAGACCGTTTTGCAATAATGGAGGAATTTCTTTCAAAGGGGGATTAGGCACCTTTCACACTGGTGCACTTTTGCCATGCTAAAACGCATCTTTCCAGAGCGACAATAGCACAGGAATAATTTTTCCGTTTACATCCTATGTAGCTGTTCACATCTGCGCATATGCTGCATTTTAAAAGTCTGCATACTGCATCTTTGGTGGATTGTGTAAAAAGCGCAAATACGCACCTTCCATAGAAAGCAATGCAAATTGCATTAAAAATAAAAAATAAAAAAAAACACTTGCTGTTGCATTTTTGGCATGTTTATGGGATCTTATGTCCAGGCTGCACAGGTGCATGCTAAGAAATGTGAATGCGTTGCATTGACATTAAGCTCAACATACTAAGAGAGCTTTTGACAAATGCATACCACGATTTTAAGAGCACCCATAGGAAAAAGCCTTTAAGCAGCTCGTCATGGTCTGACTAGGTACAAAAACAAGTCCATTGATTACACCTATTCAAGAGTAGAGCTGGCCACCACAATAAGGAGAAAAATTCTCCAACTTGTGCATAAAAGTAGCATAAAGTATGCATATAATATACATCTAAAAGGATCCTGACCTAATGAGAAGTCCAGCGTACCTGTGTCAGATTTAGCAGAAGAAGGGAAAAATGTAAGTTAATGACCATATGCAGGAGCTGGTCCTCAGCAGACAGCTGCAGCAGAACAGAAGGAGTACCCTTCACACAAGATCCAAATGGGACTAAATCCTGCTTGCACAAGTATAGCAACCTCACTTCAGCTCACCAGAGATTGTAGTGAAGATCAACGGGGAAGGGGGTGGTGAACTAAGCGTGAATGTATGTGCAACCTGTAACAGGGCTTTGGCCAATACCCAGCCCTTTAAGGGGCCTATGTATAAAACATTTGTGGTGTGGATGTGACAAACCGCTGTATTTTTGGCTAATATGTACTTCCTATATTGCGGCCATTGTGTGTTTTTCCCCATAAATATATCAATCAGGGGTAAAACATTAAGGCCACTAGAATATAAGAGAAATCACAGCGATTTTCATTCTAAATGTGCAGATGTTTGTTACATCCACATAATGAAAGTTGTGTGCGTAGACTCTCTACTTCCTTAAAGAGCTGAAAGGGAATCCACCAATTGCTCAGAAGCAATGGGGTGAAGCACTTTTAACACTGTGTAGAGATGCATGGAAACAATGGCAAAAATAAATCTAGAACAGCTATTGTAAACGAACCTGGATAGACAAATAACCAATTCTCCAAAAAAATGTGACATTGGTACACCAATTGATCCTCCAAAGGGACTACTGCCATGCACTGAACGTGAAGTCGCAGGACAGTCCATTACTAAAGCCTAGGGCAGTGGTCGGCAAGCCGCGGCTCGCGAGCCACATGCGGCTCTTTACACGCTTTAATGCGGCTCTTGTGTGCCGGGCGCCCGCTCCCCTCCCTCCTCTTGGGCGGCAGGGACTCTGCAGCGTGATCCCAAAAAAAAAAACAGCCAGGGCAGCGCGCTCAAATGCAATGATTGGCCAGTCTCGCTGCCACTCACATCCTGATAGCCAGTGATTGGCTGTCAGGATGTGTGTAGGCGGGGCAGCGTGACGAACGTGAGAGGAGCTAGGCTCCTCTCACAGTCCGCCCTGAAGACTGGAACGGCGCGGGAACACGGCGAGAGGAACGCGCGGAGCAAAGGTAAGTGAATTGACACAGGGGGGACTTGGCTTACTTACTACTTATATTACTACTAATATGAGGGATGAATTAATATAGGGGGGATGAATTACTATAGGGGGGATGAATTACTATATGGGGGATGAATTACTATGGGGGATGAATTACTATGGGGGATGAATTACTATATGGGGGATGAATTACTATATGGGGGATGAATTACTATAAAAACTTATTGAAACTAAAAACAGTGCACCATCCTATGTATTTTCAGTTTTAAAAATGTGGCTCTCAAAATAAATTTCAATCGTGGTTTTGGCGAGATTTGGCTCAGTTGAAAAAAAAGGTTGCCCACCACTGGCCTAGGGGAATAAAAGAATACTGCCTTTTGGGGTAGCAAAGGATCGGAGTAAGTAAAACAGCTTTTAGTGGTCCCTTTAGACAAAAAGAAGCATTTAACCTCTGCAATGCAGGGGCAGTGCCAATGCAAAAGATAATTTTTCCCCTTTCTGGAGATGGGCTTTCAGGCCTCATTCACACAGACTGAGAAGCTGAAAATGTACCCAGTGTAAAATCCCTGGAATTTTCCAAAGCCAGGATGCGGCAGGTGCCTTGTACAAACTACCATACAAGGGAACGGCTGTTTGCAACTCTTGTAAACGCCAGTGCATCTGTGCATCAGGACGCCTACATACTGACAACTGTGCGGCATTGGGCAACTATGTGGCAAATGAAGTTTAATTTTGATAAATGTAAGATTATGTACTTGGGGGCTAAGAATATGCATGCATCATACATACTAGGGGGAGTACAACTGGGGGAATCAATGGTGGAGAAGGACCTGGGAGTTCTGGTAGATCACAAGCTTAATGACATGCAATGTCAAGCTGTGGTTTCTAAAGCGAGAAAAATCATCTCTTATTAAAAGAGGTATAGACTCCAGAGAGAGAGATATCATATTACCCCTGTACAAATCATTAGTAACACCTCATCTGGAATATGCAGTTCAGTTTTGGGCACCATTTCACATAAAGAACATTCGGGAACTGGAGAAAGTACAGAGAAGGACAACCAAACTGATACGAGGCATGGAAGAGCTCAGCTGTGAGGAAAGATTACAACTGAATTTATTCTCTCTTGAGAAGAGGAGATTAAGGGGGGGTATGATCAACATGTATAAATACATCAGTGGTTCATATAGTGAACTCGGTGTAGAGCTATTCACCCTGAGGTCATCACAGAGGACAAGGGGGCAAGCTACACATCTGGAGGAAAATAAATGTAATCTCCAAACACGGAAAGGTTTCTTCAGAGTGAGAGCTGTGAAAATGTGGAATAGACTCCCTCAAGAGTTGGTTCTGGCAGCTCAGTGGATTGCTTTAACAAAAAGGCCTGGATTCTTTCTTGGACACACAGAATATAACTGGATACTAACATTTATAGGTAAGATTGATCCAGGGAATATCTGAATGCCTCTCGGGGGATCAGGAAATAATTTGTTTCCCCTGCAGGAGCAAATTGCATCATGCTTTGCTGGTTTTGTTTGCCTTCCTCTGGATCAGTTGTGGGTGTAGTATTATAACTTTTTTTTTCTTCTTTTTTTAATGGTTGAACTGTATGGACTTGTCTTTTTCCAGCCAGTCTAACTATGTAGACAGACATTCACTTGTATGACAGGCTATACGAGCCACCTGCAGCACCAGAAGCGCAGAAAATTGCCTGAAATTTACTCTAGGCATATTTTCATCCTCTCGCTTTCAAAGTGCATGATGCCTAAAAAAAAAAAATCTGTTAGTATGCCTCTGAAAGCTTTGTCACGGTTGTAAACTTACTAGAAAGACATGTTAAAGATTTTATGATAGCTGTTTAAAGTTGCTAAATGCTTGCTGTATATATTGTTCTTCAGACAAGTATCTATAAGTGGAAGCTTCTATTAAGTAGCAGCCTCCTAGTAAGAAAAATTGAAGAGTTGCTCAAAGAAGGAAAAAAAAAAAAAAAAAACATGTTCTACAAAATTTATAAAGCCCCCTCAACACCAATCTAGTCTAGCAGGAGTACAGTAATTCATCTACTCACCCTGAGGGCTTGACTGTGTTGGCGACTGAGGTGGAGGACCATTTTGTAGATGTAGGACTTCCAGTACAGTTGGTGATTTGGAGGATTTGCGATCACCATTAGGTTGAAGCAGCTTCTTCGGACGTCCTCTTTTCCGACCTGCCATTTTTTTTTGCCCTTCTTGGTCAGTCTCTTACGAGCTTTGGCAGGTGAAGTCTTTTTCACAGGAGCTGGTTTTTCCTCCTCAGTTGCAGAATCCTAAGGCGAAAATAGGGAATAAGGTTTTTCTTTTTACTACTAATGAAATTCTTCTCTTGTTAAAGTGGTTCTGGCAGGTTACAGAAATCAAGACAAAAAAGGGACATGGATATAGGATCTACAAGTTGCATTTAAGCAGTGTTTTTGAAGCCTCTTTACTTCCCTTTAATGCGTGTCATGAATATTACAATGGGCACCACACAATGCAGTACACACCTGTGCATTAGCGTTGTGTTAATTAGGCAGCTTGTTGCAGTCATGAGGCATTGCTGTTTATCGGCCACCTCCTTTAATTTCAATGGTAGCCTCCCTGTAATGAGCATTACTTCCTTCTTCATAATCAACACATATGTGAACAAGCCAAGAGCTCTCTTTTGAAGGGACCTATTGTCTTGATTTCTTTATAAGCGGACTGGCCGCAAAAGTGTCAAGCTCTGCCTAAAATACTAGTTTAGGATTTGTAAGTCACTAAGGCAGCCCATAGATGAGTCAGTTTTTTTTTTTACGTTCAACCTGAAGGTTGAAAGAAAAAAAAACAAAAAACTGGCACTATTTCCCCCACACACTTGATGTGGATGGGGAAATCTTTCCATCAGAAGACACTTATCATTGTTGTAGGCTATAGCCTGCAACGCTGATCAAGCAGGGAAAATCCAACAGGGTGGTTGTACAGAAGTTGATCTGTAGAATGACTTCTGTGCAACCTCCTCAAGCATACATGGATTACAACCAGACAAATTTTGATCTATGTACAGCCAATTTAAGCAGAATCTCATTCTCATACAGCACTGACATATTACCCAGTCCTGGGAGGTATGCAGACTCAATTAAGGTGTCCATTTATGAAAGCGAAAAACCACAATCCTGATGATCGTGGTTGATCTCTTATGTGTACCAGTTCATGTAGCTGAGAGGAGGAGCGCAAGAAAGGTTTATGAAATATAAATCTCTATATAGATATAATATATACAGATAGGTAGATAGATACACACACAGCGGGTAAAATAAATATTGAACATGTCACCATTTTTCTCTGTAAATATAATTCTAAAGGTGCTATTGACATGAAATTTTCACCACATCAGTAACGATCCATACAATCCCTGCATACAAAGAAACCAACAGTGCAGAAATTAGGTTTTGTGTAATAAAATGGAATGACAGAGGAAAAAGCATTGAACACGCTAACTCAAATTTAATACTTCGTACAAAAGCCTTTGTTGGTAATGACAGCTTCAAGATGCCTCCTGTATGGAGAAATCAGTCACATGCAGTGCTCAGGTGTGATTTTGGCCCAGTCTTCCACACAGTCTTCAAATCTTGGAAAGTTCCATGGGCCTCTTCTATAAACTATGATCTTTAGTTCTTTCCATAGATTTTCTATTGGATTCAAGTCAGGTGACTGGCTGACTGGTAGATGGCAGCAGATTTTTATCAAGTATGTCTTGGTACATTTTTCCATTCATCCTTCCTTCAGTGTTATGAAGTTTGCCAGTACAGACTCACACCATGATGTTGCGACCTCCAAACTTCACTGTTGGTATGGTGATTTTGGGGTGATGTGCAGTGCCATTTGACCTTTAAACATGGTGCGTATTATGGCATTCAAAGAGTTCAATTTCAGTGTCTCTGACCAGACTATATTCTCCCACTATTTCACAGGCTTGTCTAGATGTTGTGCAGCAAAACTTTAAACAAGCTTCTACATGCTTTTTCTTCAGCAATGGAGCCTTGCGTGGAGAGCGTGCATACAGGTCATGGCGGTTGAGTGCATTACTTATTGTTTATTTTGAAACAATTGAACCTGCTAATTCCAGCTCGTTCTGAAGCTCTCCATAAGTGGTCCTTGGCTCCTGGACCACTCCTCTGTCAGAAATCTTGCGAGGAGCACCTGGTTGTGGCCTGTTTATGGTGAAGTTATGCTCTTTACGATTACAAATTATAGCCACACCAGTGCTCACTGGAACATTCAGAAATTTAGAAATCCATCTGTAACCAATGCCATCAAAATATTTTACAATAAGGTTGCGAAGGTCTTGAGAGCAATTTGCTTTTACCCATCAAGAGATGTCTCTTGTGTAACACCTTTTTATAGGCCATCAGTTAAGACTAAACCAGCTGATATTAATTAGCATTGATTTCAGCTGGTGTCTTGGCTTTTCATGCCTTTTTGCACCTCCCTTTCTTCTTGTGTTCAATACTTTTTTCCTGTGTCATTCTATTTTATTACATATAACTTAATTTCTGAACTTATTTGTTTTGGTTTCTTTTTATGTATGGATTGCATGGGTTGTTACCAACATGTGGTGAAAATTTCATGTCAATAGCCCCTTTAGAAATAGATTTACTGAGAAAAATGGTGACGTGTTCAATATTTATTTTACCCGCTGTGTGTGTATCTATCTACCTATCTGTATATATTATATCTATATAGAGATTTATATTTCATAAACCTTTCTTGCGCTCCTCCTCTCAGCTACATGAACTGGTACACATTTTGGTGTGCTTTTTTATATCCATTTTAGCCCATTTTTTGTGTGTGGATTTTGGCGTTTCTTAACACACAATTTGGCTCATCACCCCATTCATGCCTGTGCATTCCAGTGGAATCTGCAGAAACAATTGTTTTTGTGTGCATTCCAGAATGACATGCAAAAAACACGTCACGCACTGCAATTGTTAATGGCAAAAAATGTGTGTTCAGAAAAAGCTTCAAAATACATGTTAAAATAAGTGCTAAAATGCATGTTAAAAACCACACACAAATAAAAACCTGCGTGAAAAGGCGCATTATAGAAGCACCAAAGTGCCTGTTTAAGTGGCAAAATGCACATTACATATCCCGACTAAAGGCATGCTAAAAACCCGTGTGAAATGTATGTTAAAACGGACCAAAATATGCATTTAAAGAAAGTGCCGCAAAGCACATAAAAAAAAAAAAAAAAAAAAAAAAAAAAAACACAGAACACCAAAATGCGCATTAAAAACACACCAAAATGCTTGTTAAAAAAAAAAAAAAAAAAAAAAAAAAAAAAGCACCAGTACTTAATGCTTTTTTTTTTTTTTTTTAAACTTTTCCTTTGTTTTCAGTAGAAAGACATCTCTCTTCTGAGAACAGAAGTTCGAGCTTTACACACAGGTCGTTAGAGGCAATGATCTTCCTCTAAGAACTGAGCTGAGGTAAATTACCTCTGTTTAACAGACGTACACCTAAGTAATTATCCCTTGGTTTATCTAGCAACTTCGTATTCCTACTATATTCAGGCACTGAAAAATTAGCATGGTCAAATGAAGAGAAGCCAGTTAACCAATTTAAGTATTTCGCATAAAGGAGTAGGTTTGAGAATTTACCAAACCATGATACCAAAAAAATTCGCTGTAGAAACTCCAAGCAAATAGCTAGCTGCTGAAAACTTGCCCCAAAACCCCAGGACTGCTTGCCACATCAATTTTCATCCAGATACTTACACACTATATTTCATTTCTCACCTAGCCTTGAAAAATAGCCTGTTGTCTGTGCTCTAATTAGGATCAAATTTTTGGATTTCAGTTAATACAAGCAAAGGTTGTCTACCTTAATCTCCTGAATTTTTGTAGGGGTGGTTGTATTGCTCTTTCCTTCACGTTGCTGCCTTCTACGAGCTGCTTCCTGTTCCTCCTTGATAAAGAAAAATTTGTTTGTTTGTTTTATAATAACTGAAAACTCATTTACTTAAATGGCTAATGACTACAAGTCAACCCTCTGAAGAAACAGTTCACTATTTTGCTTTCTGCATAAAGTATACTGAATGAGATTTCGACTGCTACACAACATAATTACAGCAGCATACAAATAATCTCTATTCTTAAAGGGGAACTGAATTCAAGAAGCTCTGCCCAAAAAGGCAGGAAAAGGGAAAATCAATAGTCACCAGTATTTATGGTTTATTTCTGCAGCTCTTTCCCTATTACCGACTTGCAATGAATGCTATATTCGGCATGGTGTCCTTTTGTAAAGTCAGCCCTCTTGGTAGAGGAGCAGGATTTTGCTTCCTCGTGTCAGAGCCTCCAGCAAGTACACTGACAGACACAGTAGTGACATCATTGCGGTTCATCTGCTGTGCGCAAATTCTGCCATGGACTGTTAGTTCCAAGAGATTTGAAGTGAGATTTGGTCTCAGATCAATCTCCTACATACTTTCACATACCACAAGAAACACAATGCTATTCTTTAGGAGGAACTCCAGGAAAAACTAAACATTTTTTCAGGGTACAAGCTCAATATGCATTCATCTTGCAATGGTCTGAGATCAGCAAAGTGAATGATATGCACATAAAAATTAGTAAGTTTATTGAATAGGGCAATAAAGAGCTAAAATGTTGAAGTAAATAATGCTCTGTGTCACTAACAATTAGAAAGCAATAACATACTATAAGAATAATATAAGCACCATGAAACATACCCTGAGTTTTGGATTTTTCAGACTGGAAAAGTAGTTTTCAAGCTGTAAAGATGAAAATAAAAGGTTGGGACATGTTATGGCAACATTGGCAATAAAACGAAATATTAAAACAATAGAATAGAAGACAAGTGAAACTGTGAAGCGACAATTGAATGTAGGAGTTTCACAAACAGCAAGAATAATGAAATCATTTGCAACTGCCTCACATCACTGCTAACTCCTTTGTGACAAAAGATAGTTAATGCCTAGGTGCCCAGTCCAAATTTAGCTGTGTCAACTTATCTTGGTCAATAGGATATCACTGGTAGGTCTACCTTTCAATTAAATTATTTTTGAATAAAGCAAATGTATGACAGTTACACGGTTAACTAGAAGTCACTGCAACTGAACACTGCAATCTGAAAAAGAAAGTGTATTTGCAGGCTGAAGGCTTTTACTTTTATTAGCTGCTAAAGTGGTCACATGACTCGGAACCGCTATTGCTGGTTTTGGATTGCCAGTGGCGAACCCGGCTGTTGGCGACAGTTGGGATTGAGAACCAATTGTTTGCGGCTAGCTATCAAAGGGGAAAGATGTTTATTAAGGTATCCCTGCCATGGAGCATTGTGTAGAGGAACGTTGCTAAACAGACTGCAGACAAAAAACAGGATTTTTGTACTTAATGTAAAAAAAATTTTTGGAGCTCAAAAGAACCCTGGGGAACACAGGGTTAATTCTGATACAAGGAGTGGAGGGTTAATTCTGACACAGGAGGGTTATACTGCTGCCTACAGGACACTGGAGACTAGCAAACCATGCAAATAGATATAACCTCTGCCACTCCCAACTCCAGCTTTGTGGAAAAGCAGTAGTAGGGGTGGATCATAAAGACAGAAGTGAGACTTTTTTTTTTTTATAAAATGTTTATTAATTTATCAACCAAATACAAATCACAGTCACATTTCTATTAAAAAAACATCCAAACAATATCTTCCTATTAGCATAAGTTATTTAGATCCCTCCCTCTTCCCCCCCTTCCAACCCACCCCTCCCCCTCTCTGCGTTTTCTCTCTTCTCCTTTACGCCAAACATTTCTATTATTTCTAAAATCCATTTCAAGGGGTGTTACATCCTCATATATTTCACTTTTTCTCTATACTCTTCCCATTTTTTCCACTTTGTATCTCCATCTTATCTATATGCATATAATACAATCTTTCTGTCCTGCAGATCTGATTCATTCTGCCCATCCAATCCTCCTCTGTTGGCACCTCCTTTTTTTTCCAAAACCTAGGTATCAAGCTCTTCGCTGCACTCATAGTGCCATATCCCCAAAACCTTATATAATTTCACTGGGAGCTCTGTGATATGCAGAAGACATAGCTCTGGGTCTAATCCAATATTAATTTTAGTAATTTTCCTTACTAGATAAACTATTTTCCGCCAAAACACCTGTATTCTTGGGCACTCCCACCATATATGATACCACGTGCCCACCTCTCCAACACAATAGTGAAATCTCCCCATTCAATTTATGCTCTATATTTGGTGTGATGTGCCATCTTACCAAACACTTATAATTTATTTCCACCTCCCGCATACTGATATTTTCGTGATTTAATCTAAACATTTTACTTCGCTCCTCCTCATCTATTTCCCTTCCCTCCCATATCTCTTTCCCATATCTCTATATATATTTTGTGTCAGTGTCTAATTCAATAAATATCTTATATATTTTTGCAATTCCGTGTCTCCCATCCCCCCGTGCTTCTAACAATCTTTTCAATGGATTCCACTCTTTTCTAGTTCTCATAGGCTTTGGGAGACTCTCGAAGAAATGTTTCAGTTGGTAGTATCGTAATCCGTCCATTCTATTGAAAACTTCTCCCTTTTTTTCTCCAGCTCTCTATATGATCCCAATTCCTCACCAACCATTATATCTCTCAATTGCGCCTCCTGTTTTATAATCCATTTCCCTGCGGTATTTTCCTGCCCAGGGGTAAAATATTCCGTATTCCTTAGTGGCATTAACTGTGAATTAAAAACCCATCCCTTTTGTCTGTGTAACATTTCCCAAACTCTCAAAACGTTAAAAATGTACTTACTTGTGTTAGCATCTAGTCCCCTATATTGTGCAGGCACCCATATAATCTTACTTAAATTTATTCCACTCAGTGTATTCTCAATTTTGACCCAACTTTTCTCTGGATTATGAGTCCAATCAAAGATTCTCGCAACTATCACCGCTTTATAATATCTCTTAAAATCTGGTACACCCAAACCACCTCTTTGCTTCTAGTCAACATTTCATAGCGTATTCTAGGTTTCTTATTCCTCCATATGTATCTTATTATCATTTTTTTAAGTTCTTTAAAATATGCCTCTGGAAGTTTGATTGGAATCATTTGAAATTTATATAATACTTTGGGCACAATTACCATTTTTATCACGTTTATACGACCTATCCAGGACGGGTTTCCACCTCCCACTCTCTTCAACTCCTCCTTAAGCTCGTTTATTAGTGAAATATAATTAACTTTATACAGATTTTTAATTGAGGCTGACAGTTTTATCCCTAGGTATTTTAATTCTTTATCTCTCCAAACAAATGGGAATTCGTCTTGTATTTTTTTTCACTATTTTTAAGGTTTATATTTAAGATTTTCGGTTTTTGTCAGGTTAATTTTTAAATTTGATAATTCCCCATATTCCTTCAATATCTTCCTTAAATTTGGAAGTGACATCCTAGGATTTCCAACATAGAACATCAAATCATCCGCATAAGCCGCCACCTTATGTTCTCTATCTCCTATCCATATTCCTTTTATAGCTATGTTCTTCCTTATCGTAGACAACAATGGCTCCAATGATAAAACATACAACAGTGGGGATAATGGGCAACCCTTTCTTGTAGCATTTGACATCCCGAAAAGCTCCGATCTTCCTCCATTAACCATGATAGTGGCAGTAGGCTCTCTATATAACTTTCCAATCCACTTTCTCATTCTATCTCCTAACCCCAACACCTCCAAGGTAATCCCCAACTCACTGTATCAAATGCTTTCTCGGCGTCAATTGACATCAGTACCATTGGGGTTTTCCCTTTTTTACCTTCCTGTATAAGCAACAGTGATCTCAAGCAGTTGTCTCTACCCTCTCTCCCCGGGACAAACCCCACCTGATCCCCATGTATCCACTCCAGCATCAGATCCTTCAGTCTATTTGCCAAAACCTTTGCATACAATTTAGTATCTACATTCAGCAGTGCTATTGGTCTATAACTTGCACACTGCGAGGGGTCTTTATCTTCCTTATGAATTAAAACTATATTAGCCTGTAAGGATTCTCCCCTTATTTCCATCTCATCTCCCAAAGCGTTCATATATATCTTCAATTTGGGTATTAACAGCCCTTTATATTTTTTATAATATTTTACCGTATATCCATCTGGACCCGGGCTTTTCCCCACCGCGGTACCTTTTAACGCTGTTTTTTTATTTCCTCTAACGTAATTTCTGCTTCTAGGGAGTTCAATTGTATTTCACTTAATTTTGGTAGACCTGCCTCTTTTAAGTATATGTTCTTCTTTTTTCTCTATTTACTGTTTGTTTTTTTAATGTATCCTGGGGTGTAATATTATAGAACTCATTATAGTAATCCTTAAATACTCTAGCGATGTCTTTAGTTGAGTGCACTAGTTCACCCTTGGGATTTCGTATTTTTTCTATATAATTCCTACTTTTCTTTTTCCTTAGAGTTCTCATTAAATACTTTCCCGGCCTATCTCCCCATCTATACCTTTCACTTATTACTTTATTAAAGACTCTTCTTTTTTCCTCCTCCATTACATTCTCTAGTTCTTCTTTCTTCTTTATTATTTTCTGCATTATCTCCTTAGACATTTCCCTTTTATGAGCCTGTTCAAGATCATATATTTCACTTAGCAGTCCAATTAATCTTTTCCCTCCTTTCTTTTTTGCCCCTATTGCAATGAGTAGTCCTCTAATGTAGGCCTTGTGGGCCTCCCACACCGTTGCAACCGACACATCCTCTGTATCATTCTCCTCAAAAAATCGTTTAATTTCCATCTCGATCTTTCGAACGATCTCTTCATCCAGAAGGAGTGCCTCATTTATCCGCCATACAAAACCTCCTCTCTCTCTACCCCATCTTGACTTCATTGCAACAGGGGCATGATGTGACAGAGTATTTCCTCCAATTTTTACTTCTACTACGGACTCTATGAATCGGTGTTCTACCAATATATAATCCAATCTAGAGTAAATCTCATGTACATGTGAGAAAAAGGTATAGTCTATCTTTCATATTCCTGATTCTCCATATATCCACTAGTTGACATTCATGCATCAGTTTCTTTAATAATCTCAAGGACCTGCTCTCCTCCCTCCTCACATAGGAAGTAGAATCCATCCGCGGGTCCATACAGACATTAAAGTCTCCAGCTATTATCAAACAACCCCTTTTGAAGTTCATCAGTCTCTTCAATACTCCCCTCAAGAAATATCTCGGTTTCTTATTTGGGCAATATATACTAGCTATTGTACACTCAATTCCCTGCAATTTACCCCTCAAAAACAAAAACCTTCCCTCCGGATCAGTTATTCTCTTCTTAACCTCAAACCTTATATTCTTTGCGAAGCATATAGCAACACCTTTTGCTCTTTTAATTGGTGAATCCGCATAATACCATGTCGGGAAATATCTAGTCTTCAGCCTGACCTTTGACTCCATCTCTAAGTGTGTCTCCTGTAAAAATACCACCAAAGATGTTCTATGTTGTAATTCTTTAAATAACCTAAATCTCCTCCCAGGACAACACAACCCCTTTACATTATAGGTTATAAATTGGACTTCTTCCATCTTACCCTACTCCTCTCAACTCCTTCTTCCTCCTACCCTTCCTCTTTCTTTCTTCTCTTATCCCGCAGAGTGTTGCTACCCCACTACTCTTTTCCCTAACCATATCCCTCCACCCCTCTCCCGATAGCCCCCTCAACCCCCCCCCTCCCCCCCTCTCCCCCCCTTCCCCCCTTACTAGGCCT